CATCCCCGTCTTCCTTCTTCGCTGGTTACACACTGCCCTTACGCCTGTGTGCATCCCCTTTTATAGCCCCTGCTCACGAGGGACGGAGCTGATGCGGCGTCGACGTGAGCGTCGTTCCTTAATGACCCAATCACGACGCACTCTCTCTACGATCCGCTTTCCCCAGCGCGTGTTAACATTACTCCACCAATCACACTGCGCTGCCACCTGATCACTCCCTCTCAGCGCGTCACCGCCCACAGCCAATCGGTACCCCGTAACCCACGACCCCGCGCTGACCCCTGATCCTCCACCGTCAGCGCGCGTCACCACCTACACAGCCAATCATCACGCACTGTGCATACGATCCTTAATCCCAGCGCGTATCACCTCTACACTAGTATAGCACACTGGTTGTGTGTTGGAGAGTAAACCCACATTCCAATTTTCTGCAGCGTTCGTCCTCAGCTCTTGTGGGTGGGTGACTCCAAAAGAGGGATGAATTGGACAATTGTTTTTGTGTCACCGAGAATGGAAATATGTTCACAGCTGGAGCCAGAGGAATCCGAGGGATAGCCTCTTCTTGTCGTGAGGTCCACTTTGCAATAAAAGCTTCGATTACGTGATTGTGCATCGTTCGGATGATGTCACGTGTTCAATTGCGAGTGTCCATCGCTTTAATCGAACTTCCGAGGGTGCGTAATGCAGGAGTCAACCTTCAGTTTAAGAAAGTGAACGGGAAATCCGGAATGGGATTGAGCTGGTTGATTAATTCATTATGCACTGTACCTGAGCCTTTGCAGACTCTTTCTTTACCAGGAAAACGGCTCATCATCATTTAATTGTCAAAATCAACAGCAATGATGGCATGGATTTGCAAGTAATGTAGCATCCACAATAGGTGTTATGGGTTAGATCGCTTACATATGAATGTGTCTTGACCTAAAGCTTTCGTAACTGCAGAAATTTATATTAAATCTTTCGTGACTGCAGGAATTCATATTCTTGGGTCTTTCGGTAAAGTCACATACATATCTACGTACATACATATACCATACATATATATAGACACAGACACAATATATATAGACACAGACACAATTTCAACCGAGAAGATGGGTACAAACTGAGCAATCATTGGAAGGACGTTATCAACCAGTGTAAGTCATAATTGGCTATGATGTTCCCATCCTACCACCTTCCGATATTAGTTGTACTTTACTCCTATTTCAAACTTGTGCGGTTTTGGTTGGCTCCTCAGAAGGTTGTCTCCCCGTGGCTGGGAAGGCAGCTTTGCGGATTGTACGGTCCGAGTATCCGTTCATCCTGAGGGCTTGGTGTACGTGCTCTTACTCACTAGTTAGGTGGTGCTGGTCGGAGATGCAACGGGCCCTATGGTGTAGTGTTTTGATGAGGGAATTCTTCTGGGCTGAATGGTGGTGGGAGTCAGGCATTAGATAGGCATCCGTGTGGGTGGCTTTCCTGTAGACCGAATGTCCCAACGAGTCATCAGGTCTCTTTTCGATCAAAACATCCATGAATGGTAGCTTGCCATCCTTTTCCACTTCCATGGTGAATTTGATATACGGGTGTACGAAATTGATGTGGTTGGGAAATTGGTTCAGTGCTGGCAGGCCACGTGGCCAGATGACGAACGTGTCATCTACGTATCTCTTCCACAAGGAAGGACGTAGGGTGGATGTCTGGATGGCATCTGTTTCAAATTTATCCATGAAAACATTCACTACCACTGGTGATAAGGGAGAACCCATTGGGGTACACTCATTTTGTTTGTAGAATGTACCATTCCAGGTGAAGTATATGTTGGTAAGACAGTGCCTTACCAGAATTGGTACATCTGGATTCAGTCCTTGTTGAACCAAATTTTCAATGATTGCAATGGTGTCAAGTACAGGTATATTGGTGAACAGAGAGACTACATCGAAACTGACAAGCAAATCATCCGGAGACAGTGAGATGTCCTTGATTAGAGAAACCAAGTGAGCTGAGTTAAGTACAGCTGAGGTGGACTTGCTCGTGAAAGGAAGCAGGGTCTCAGATATAAATCGGGCCAGTTTGTAGGTGGGTGAGTTAATGATGGAGACGATAGGATGGAGTGGGGTACCTACTTTGTGGATTTTTGGAAGGCAATAAAATCGGGGTGATCTAGCAGCCGAAGGTTTTAGAGAGCGCCGCTTGGTCTGATCGATTAGAGAAGTCGATTTAGTGATGATATTGTTGTTTTTTGTGGCTAGGCAGTTGTTGGGATCTCTGTTGATTTTAGTATAGCTGCCATCATTAAGAAGATCCAGAATTTTGTTGTTGTAAGTGCTTTTATCCATGATAACAGTTGCATGGCCCTTGTCGGCTGAGAGGATGACAATGCATCAGTAGCAGGCCATACTTTCCCACTGGTGAGGGACGCTTGTGTTGTGCCCGAAACGTCGTGATTTATTTTATTTTTATACCTACGTGACTTTACCGAAAGAACCAAAGAGTATGGATCCCTGCAGTCACGAAAGCTTCAAATCAAGATTGAAAGGGTAATGCAGGCGGTCCCTGCGTTTACGACGTTACAATGCGTCCCTGGAAACCCCCGTCGTAAATCAGATCGCCATTTTTCGGACCTCATGTTGCCATAGACACAATGTTATAAAAATGTTCACAAAAAATGCTAGAAATATGGGATTTAGTGAAATATGTTCATATAAAGAATGAACCATTGCGAGTGCTATAAGATGTTGGAAAACAGTCCCTTAGTGCTATAAATGGATAGGTCAAGAGTTTACAGTGCAGTACTGAACGTGACATTTTTACTGAAAGTGACACAAATAAATGTTTGTTTCTAAAATATGTATTTTTAACCTTGTCTTCTTCCTTGCTGTGCTTACGTGAATGTAACCTTTTGAGAGAAAAAAACTTCACTTTCAACTACGTTGCAAAGTAGAAGAATTGCTGTTCACGTATTCAGTCACGTGGGAAGATGCGTCATCGGCGAGGTGTCTGCGTCGTAAATCGATCAATGGTGGCCTTATACTGCACGCACGTCGTAGACTCGTGTCGTATTACATCCGGTAAACCGTATATGTAACAAAAATCCAAAGTAACAAACTCACACTTGCTCCATTATACTATGATTCTGTGACTCCGAACAGAGCAGCCTACATCACTGACATGCTGCACCCATGTCCCATCTTGGTCCCTAAGATCTGGGGATGCAGCTCGTCTCTGCATTCCCAGGTGGAGGTTTCGGTGTATGGGTGACCGAAATTTACCTCATGTAGCCCCCAGGCTATGGAACGCTCTTCCACGAGATGTCAGGATCTGAGTCTGTGGACATTTCTAAAATGCATCTTAAAACCTACTTATACACTTCCGCTTATTCAACTTTTCGGTTTAATAAACGGATTACAGTAATCCCTCGCCACTTCGCGGTTCAAGTTTCGCGGCCTCAGTGCATCGCGGTTTTTTCGAACTGATTTAAAGGCCTCATTATACCTGTGCAGTAACACCATCATCATTCATCATCACATTCATCGAACTGCACAGGTCTGTCATCGTCGTCATTGTCATCGTCATTGTCATCGTCGTCATTACTGGAGTCAAGTCTCAAGATACTACTGTCATTGGTGAGTGTAGAACACCATAATACGTATCGTATGAGAGAGAGAGAGTGAATGTATAATATTAATGTTTTATAATTAAATAGATTTAAGTAAAATATATATATAAAGTATAATATACATATTTTAAACATTCTGGTACCCACACACACATATACGGAAATTCCTAGGGGGCCAATCCTACTTCGCGGATTTTCACCTATCGCGAGGGGTTCCGGTCCCCATTAACCGCGATAGACGAGGGATCACTGTATAACATTATTATGCCGAATTTCCCCTTCTGCTGTGTCCTGTGCAGTGCTTTTAAATCCTTGATAAAAATCCGCTATATAAATGTAATTATTATTACGTCAGGCCACTTGGAGATATTCATCGCTGACCCCGTGATCATTCCCCATAGCCGAACACGCGGCGTCTGGCGGTTAAAGCAATATATCGCGAAAAATCTCGGATAATAGGAGTTACTTAGTATATGCGTAGTGACGTTAAGGGTGTCACTACGGTGTTAGCGCCAGGCACTGTCACGAGAGTGCTACTGTGCGCCTGGAACTTCTCTCTTGGGCCAGAGTGAGTGCGGCATGCAAACAGGCCTTAGTGGGCATAGTGCTGGTGACGGCCTGAGAGAGGGCAAGTCAGGATATGGTAGTCTGGGTGAACCCGAGAAGGTACGTGACCGGGACAGGATAGTATGGGGGGGCTCCGAGGGGGGCTTGAGGGACACGTGATGCTCGGTCGAGATCCTTCGGGAAAGGTCTCGAAGAGGGCGTGGCCGAAGGCGGAGTGAGGCCACGCCCAGGAGCATAAAGGGGCAGTCCCGAGAGCGTTCTGGGCTGTTCTCTGGAATCAACCCTTGGGGCTACGTCTCTTCGATCGTCGGTCTTCGCTCGGCATCGTGGGTCAGTCAGAATGTTACTGACTGACCCGGTTATGTTGTTATCCTGTTGGGGTCGAGTTGGCATGTGTACGTTTATGTAGTTAGCCCTGTTGGGGCTGTGTAATAAACGTGTGTGCCTCCGTGTTCAACACTCCACGTGTCGCCCACACCTCAAAGTATTCACCACACGTCGCAGGCAAATTGGACGCCGTTCTGCAATTTTACTTTCAGAAAATGTGCGCTTGACGGCAATGGGGAAGATTTGGACCCCACGGTTAACTGGAGTTTTCCCCGGACTCTAATGCTACCGCGGATAACAGAAGTCACGGGTAACAGGGTAACGGTTTTCAAAAGTAGTCATCTAGTTCATTACACAGCGTCTACTGCACGTGGTTGTAAATGTCCGTTTGTCTTGACGGCGAGAAAGGTACAGACCTTGCTTGCCTACTGCTTCACGGCACGGACAGTTTGCACTCACACGCGCACACGCACGCTGGAGAGTAAAAATCCAAAATGCTCACCAGTGGAACGAACACAGACACGAATACATCATTTTATTTACAGCATGTGTAGGGGTTAAAATAACATAAACATTTTTGCTTACAGTAGAAGTGGGTGTTGTTGTTTTGTTGTTAGCAATTGAGAGATACGAACCGGCTAAGTGAATGAGCAACCATTTGACCAAAGAGCACGACTGGGTGCTCCGCGGCAAGCCCACGTGATGCGAGAGCCGTCACTCGCGAAACGACAGCCAGCCTTTGGCAATTTTAAAATGGGCTCATTCTTAAACGCTGCGATCGCTTTGTTTTTAAAAGTTTTACCTTCGTTTCAAAAATACACATCTTAAAAAAAACCCCACCGTGTTGTTTAGAAGACCAGAGATTGTTTTAAGACTGGAGGAAAAATAGTTACACTTTGAGATATATTTTGTTAAAAACTACGATTTGAATCGAAAAATTTTAGCTACCGATCTTCAAGACCTTTCCATTCTCACGTTATTGACCTTTGTGAGAGGGTTACCACGTGCGCCTTCTTCAAACAAGGGTTCAATTTAATCAAACACAAAGTCATCCGCAAAAATCATCCCCAAGTTTTAAAAATCTCCGCATTTGGGAGAGAGAAAATCATGCATGAAAGAGGTCACAACGCAAAGAGTGTGAAACAGCCAAGAATGAGAGGGCAACGCCACAGCACCAGGGAAGCCGGGGGGGATGGAGGGAGGGGGAGGGGTCATTGCACAGTGCGTCGAGGGGAGACAAGGAGGATGTGGTGGAGGGCGCTACAACACACGCGCAGCATGCATTCATTCCGGAAACACGAAACCATCGGGGAAACCGCTTCAACCAACTCGGAAACACAACGGTCAGGAACGGCGCAGCACAGCAAAGTCATATTATTTGGAATATTAACTTTGTTTTGTTTAATATTACATCCCTGAATACCACAGTCTCAACAAAAAGAAAAACGTAACAAACAATGTGGAAACAAGTGACTAAGTGAGCAAGATTCCATGTTGAAGGAGCATGGGGGTTCATAGTGCAGGCCCGTGACAATGAAATAACATCAACATTACGCCCCTTGGAAAGATAGTTCCGGTTCTAAAGGTGAGAAGAAGTCATTGCGATCGGGATTTCAAATTCTAGAAAACCACAGCCTGTAGAGCTGCAATTAAAAGGTCACGCTGGAGTGTGTAATATATCGTAAATGTCTAAATCGTAAGGTTTTTTTCGCCTTCGTTTTATGAAAAAGAAATCTACACAGATTCATCACTCACATATACAACCAGGACACTCACAATTCACCGTCTACAGACAAAATGAAAACGGGTTGCATTACGTCATTGAATAACTCCCCTACCGCGCTAAAAGCATTCCCTTCCCGAGGAGGAGAGCCCACGAATACCCAGGTATTGAGCACGCACATGCAGCAGCAGCAACGACAAGAAAATAAGATGCCCTCCTGCGCCAAGCGGTTATTATCGATGTTTGATGAAACCAGTGTCGTAGCAAGAGAGAAAAGAGAAGAGAGAGAAACACATATTAGCCTTTTAGCAAGTTACGGAAAATCTCTTACACTTCAAAAATGTTCCCTTTCACTCAAACTAAAAAAACCCACAGCGAACGTCTTTCTAGACTCGTAATAACCACGCGTTAAATAGACCACCGTTTCATCTGTACGTTTGGCTAGCATATACGCCGTTTTTTTATCTACAATATTTGACAGGAGTCAACAACAGCAGGCCAATATCATATTGGTGCACAGCTTATTAAAACACTCCAGGACCAGCAGAGGTTCACGCAGGGTTAGCCCGATACTGGAACACCCCCGCAAAATAAATAGTTAATGCTCCGTAATGCTTCCGACGCGCGTGTTGCAGCTCAACCGGCCTCTGGAGCTCACACCGTCGCTTCCTTCGGGGTGTTCAGAATGAAATACCCTTCCCCTGGCGCTCCCCTGAGCTTACGCCAGATATTGCAGCAGTATTTTTTTTCTTAATCATCAGAATGGCTTTTCATGGCCGCCACCTAAAACCACGTGAGCTTAGAGCAGCAACGCACACACAATATCTACAAATCCCTTGTAAACAAAACTGCATTTATCATTTTGGAAACAAATATATCCATACGAGTATAAGCCGATGGCAGGAACGTCTCACAATCCATTAAATATCGAGGCAAACCCCCCCCCCCCATGAAATTAAAACGCTTAAGATGACGAGTCAGCCGTTGTCCATGGTTGTTCTAGAGGCATGCATGCACACATTGAACGTGGGTGCCCGTTTCCAGCGGTGATCGCGCTCGACTCGAACCGACCGGCCTGAATGAACAAGCAGGCCCGAGGAGTAACGAAGGAGTATTTTTTTTTATAGCGGTTTGACTTGTACGCTCACTTGTCCACACAAACGGCTTTGGGGCACACTTATACCTTGGCACGCACGCACGCACCGAAACACGCACACGCGTGCACGCGCACAGAAAAACGACTCCCTCATTTAGCTCGATTGAGCTGTCGGGGCAGGTGCTGTTAGCGAGCACCTTAATGGCCAACACAGCGCACATCCTGCGGCATTGGGGCCAATAAGTCACTCGTCAGGGCTGCTCACGCGCTCGCTCTGGGCTCAATCGACCTCACGAATCTCTAAACTATCGGGTACCCGGTACGGTGCTCGCCAGTGGAGTGGCCGAAGATTGACCGTCACGCCTACGAGCGTGGCGCCACCTCGCACCGCACAACGAGGACTCGCGTAGCCACGGACTGGGACTCAAGTGCACACGCAGACGCAAGATGCACGTGGACGCACGCGGAACCGTGCGTACGCGGGTGACGCGTGCCGACGCCGCAATACCGTTTACTCTATGAGCAAAAGTCATGCCTTAAACACCCAGCAGCACAACATCTCAGATGCATTGGAAGGGAAGCATGCAAAATAGTGGTGGTATGTGTGCATAAAACCTCACTCTTGTTATATAGTGTCACGCGAAACCTGAACAAATCTATCAAATTAAAGTTTTCGTCAAATAACGATGTGCGTCAAGCTATCACCAGTCACGCGCCCTTCACGGATGACGTTAAAAGCTAAAGTGCGACACAAAAAGCGCGTCAATTTCAAAACAAGCGGCGGCCGCAGTGCGGGGTGACCGGTGTGGGGGAGGTTGCGCGGGGCAGCGAGCGACGCCGCGGGGGGGGGGGGGGGGGGTTCTGCACACACGCCGATTGCGGACAGCACAGTCTAGGGGGGGGAACCTCAAGTGAAGAACCGAAAAATGGGAGCCGGCGATACTCTCCTACAAGGAGGTCTCGAAGCTGAGCAGCGGGCTGCCGGGCCGGCTGTGAGCCACGGGCGGCTTGTACGCTCCCAGGTAGGAGCTCGAGAGAGGGGGCTGCGGCGGTGGGCGTGCGCCCGAGTGGCGGTCGTAGTTGGCGTTGTTGTTGCGGTTGGGGGAGTGCGCCGCGAGGCTGTCCTCGCTGCCGTGCTGGCGCCGCTTGGTCGGGGCGTCGTCCTCTTCCGCGTCCGTGTCGTCGATCAGGGGGATGTGCGGCTCGGAGCCGTTTCCGGCGCCGTTGCCAAAGTCGGGGTGCGTCATGAAGTTATGGATTGAGGAGCGGGCTTCTGGCTTTTCGAGCTTCTCGTACAGCGAGCTACGGAATGCTTTCACCACACGGATCTGCAGCAGGCGCGATGGGGGGGGGGGGGGGTGGAGGAGACGGAATGGAGATGACGGGGGGGAGGGTGGGAATTGAGGAGAGGGCGAGAAGGAGAGGGATTGCTCGGAATGGGTGAGAGTGGGGCGGCAGGAGACGCGGAGGGGTTTGGGTGGCACGACGAGGCTCCGCGAGGGGCAAGGCAGGAGAAGGGCGAAGGGTGGTGAGCCCAAGAGAGATGAAACACGGGAACCAAGAGTGGAGAGGGAGACGAAAGCATAGTGAATTAAAATAAATGGATGAAAGTTGAGTTGGACAGGAGATAAAGACAGAGAGAGAGCACATATAGAGGAATACATTAGTAAATAAACATGCATTCTCTGTATACCTATGTCAGTTATTATTATAAACAAAATGAAACCAGTTAAGGTCACCTCGAGGTATAAAGCAGCATCAGGCGTGTACTCATTCTACAGGTTCATCCTAACCAGATTGCCATACAGACTACAACCGGAATGATGGGAGAAAACCAAAATTATATTTTTCTTTTAACCATACGTCACCCTGCTGGTCAGTGCAGGTTGGCTATGGCAAGGAGCATAGACGTGGGAGCAAAGCAGGACAATGGATTTTGCTGCGCTGCCCACTATTGCTCACCACATCACCCCAAACCCTATCCATTCTGGGCAATTGGTCAATATGTAGCACGTATGTAGCTACACGCTGTTAAATATTTTCACCAGCACAATTTCCGAGTATGATTCACAACGCTTTACTTTTTACGCAGCTACAGGCCACGCGGTTGCTGCTGCTACACACTTAGTGCTGCTCCATCCGCTACGATGCACTGTTGGACACGGGGCACATCCGCTTGCAGGCACGGGGCAAGCCAACTGCTTTCCTCGAGCACAATTGAGAGCGGTACTCCCATAAGCAAATGGTTCACCATGTGGCCCGGCCTGCCATCACGTCCGCGACAAAGTTAGTGCCCTGTCCACGGCCGTGGTCGTCGCGTGGCACAACGAGCGAGCTACCACCGGAGGCGACGACTTCCGACGCGGATATCCGATGATGTGGTATTGAAACGCATGTTGGGAATGGTTATATTAAATTCACAATGTCATCAACAATAATGTACCACGACTAGACAGTGCAATGTACATCGCCTGAGATATTATGCATAACATGTAAACGCAATCAACCACTTTGTAGGGTAGTCAAGAGTGGTTGGCCCTATGGATAGGAGGGCTCCTGCCATGAGACCGGGGAATTTCCATCGCTGGCCCAGGGCTGTAAACGGGAGATTTGCAACTGCCTCAATGCTCATTTGAGCGGGAAATCACTTTGAGTTTGATGCCGGAATATTGCCAAAGAGGACATTGGTCAGGGGGCTGTGAATAGCCGGATTCCACCATGATGACCGGACTGCACGTACAATAATAATGTACGTACAACAACGCACCCCTGTTCAAGAATTCGTGGTATTTAATGCAACCAAACTGCAACATGCATAGGTCAACTGTTAAAATAAAATGAATGGAAATGTAGACATGCACATGTAAGCAGCCTCTGCAAGTGTGATTGCAATCAAGGAACCATCTGGAGACAAGAATGGCATTGGATAAACGTGAGTTGTACGGCGCATACCATTGCGTTTGGTAATAACGGTTCACGGGGCAGTGCTTCGACGCGTACATTTCTTGACTGCGAACGTGAACGGAGGTTGAAGGAATAAGACGCGTTCAATTATATTATTCAACCGGGCACCTTTCAACATGCAATGGGATTTGCGTCGTTGTACAAAGTCCGTGGCCTGTTTGGTTTTCGCGTTTCGATAGCGGTACGGGGCATTATGAATGCGCAACAGCAAGAGCAGCGCAATGTTGATGATTGCGTTGGCCGTGGCGCCAGCAGGCAGCGCCGGGCGACACCGTGCCCTTCTACGACGCGGCTGCATTGCGACTCCCTACCGCACCCTGCAGGCGTGCGGCGACTCACCCTGCAAGCCGATCGATGAACAATATCATTTGGGCGCAGTGGTTCTCAACTTTTGTTGGCGACTGTAACCCCTTGTTGAAGTTTGTTTCAACCGAGTACCCCCTTGCCTGACCGAACATGGTTCTGAGAAATAAATGCATGAATAATGAACATCAATATTTTTACCAATTGTCCAATTTTGTGAGGTATCCTAACTAGCGAGTAACTGCAAGCGAATAAAAACATTCAACGGACGTTCTGCATGCGTCACGTCATTTGTTTGCGCTCGCTGCTTACTCTTGTCAACCGCATTGTCTACAATCAATGAGTTTATAAAGGTATTTTATATCGTTCTAGATTACCATATGGATACACATTTTACCGTAGTTATTTATATTGTCAGATTCGTACGTGATTATTCACCAATTACTCTTTATGTATAATTTCACACATTTATAAATCACCTCACGTACCCCCTGGGACGTTACCACACCCCCAGGGGTCCGCGTACTCCCGGTTGAGAACCACTGAGTTTGGACATCTGTTAATTGCACCATTATTACAGCGCAAGAGTATCACGAAGGAAGCGGCTATGTTGAACAGACACGCTCGACATTAGTTTCACAGTAGGGGAACGGTATTTGTAATCAAATTGAGTAATTTGCCAGGTAGTTTTGTCGAATATGGGCCTACACTTTTCCGAATGATGTCAGGGGATCCTGAACATCGACTGTGAAGTGGATGGTGAATGTCTAAGTTAATAGGCCCGCGGTATTAACCTGCCAGAGATTCCATCGGCAATCCTCTGCAACAAGGGGCTACCACTGGGCCTCGGAATCGTCATGGTGCGGGGTAGTGATTCTCCTTAGGAATTGACCCTCCGCTGTCTCATTTCCATTGTTTCTTATAAATTCTGTCTCATAAGTTGCATAAACAGCAACAATTGATTACGCGCACAAATTAAAGCATCTGCCGCTAGCGAAAGAGACAATTTGCCGCATCGTTTCACGCAGAACAATTTTGAAGGTTGCAATTTGAGCGATTCTCAGGTTAACTCCAACAAGACGGCTACATTTCAATTGCATGTGAAATTAGCAATGTTGGGCCCTTTTAATGACAATACGGGGCTGTAACGGACCAGGCATAATTCCTTCAGTATCTCCCATTCGGTTAGCCACTTTAATAACATCAGACTAGTTCGTGCGGTAGGTCTTAGCATCAGACAGCACAGTAAATCCGGCATTCGCTGTTTTGTCCCTCACACTCCTTACATCTTAAAATAACTTTAAGGTGGCCTCGTGAGAAATCATTAATTTACACGCACATTAATAAAGGTGAACTTTCCGATGCTAGTCACTCAGAACGATGCACACGGTCCCAGGTTTTACAATGCACAGTACGCAGCTATCCACTGGACATCCAGACGAAAATGTTGCACTAGCTGCTGCACATATTCATCACATTGCTTAATGAGATTCAAGTCGAAAAACGTTAAACTATATTTTGTTATCGTTGGCAAGGCAATTGTCCATGAGTGCGCTTCACTAGCGCAGTCGGCCAAACATCTCAATTCAGGATTACAGAGCTTGGGCGATTGCTGATGCCAGGTTCAGACTGCGTTCCCTCTCATCTGTGGCTTCCCGTGCCTCGGTGCGAAATCTGTGTGCGTTGAGAATTCTACAGCAGCGATTAGGGGCGCAAATGGAGTGAATGAATAACGCTGCTTTATGTAAACTTACTACTTGGATAATTTTGTTTAACTCACCTAGGAGTTTGATGGCCTTTCATTTGCAACATTAAGATGTAAGAATGTGTAACTTAATTTATAGAATGGGCCATATTGGGAAGATCATTTTATAAATATGCAAATATCAAACCTTTTTCAGAAGTTAACTTGACTGACAAATATCGCTTGATATTACCGAGTTGTAGCGCACGTTTGAAGCACAGCACGTACATTAAAAAAGTGAAACCTATGTTGGTTTCTGTATTGCTTTCTGAATTCCCCGTGTCTGGCTCTTGGGCAAAAAGTACAACACACACGACATCCGGCCCACGGAGCACGCAGGGCCGCTGATCAGCATGGCCCACCACGACCACGCGGGGCGTGCAGGGCAAGGGAGGTTGGACGATGTAACCTTTTTGAGTAATGAAAACAATTCTAACTTTATTAAAACTGGTCAATGCCCGTCTCAGCATTGAAATAAAATATGATGAGAAAATAACTGGCAGCCCTTTGGTAACCCACCCACTGAATTAGAGTTTCCACCACATCATGCTGGAGATGGTGGGGGTTTGACCGTACTTCACGCTGGTCAGTAAGGAATTGGTGAATGGGGCAGCACATTTCAACTGAACTGTGCAATGGCCTCTGATGTTCTCGGGCTCACACGTGGCCTGACATTGTTGGATCGATTGAACCAAGCGTGAGCCCATTGAGACTCAGGGCCGTAGTCTTATTCACGGCTCGATTCTGGCTCGGCTTTTTAACATCGCTCAGCTCAGGATTGAAATGCTGAGTTGCTTCCACAGAAGCCTAAGTGAGTCTACATGTGGTTTTCTGTCGGCTCACGTGGGCCAGAGCCAAGCCTAAGCCGAGCCGTGACTAAGAATACAGGCCTAAGGGAGACCTGTTGTGGTCTTGGCATGATTACGATTTTCCCATCTGACAAAATGCTGAAGACATCCCTGACATTCCAGTGAAGAACCAAACGCTATTCAATAACAAGGTTGAGAAACAATTAGTTGACGGGCCTCCAATTGCGATGCGACAAAACATTAACTCCCGATCTCGACTCGCATGAAACACAACAGATAACGATACAATTAATCTTCTTGTCAAGGTAGAAGCTGTGTTACCAGTTACAAATTGCAACGAATTAACAAACATTGCTGAGACACTTTAAACGTGTTCGGCCGTTTACACCTTGGAAATGCCAAAGCCCATGATGTTCTGCCAACACATGGACACCCTTGCAAACCAGATGCTCCATCTCAAGAGGGGGGGGGGGGGGAGTTTCTTAATGAAACATATTAACGAACAAAAAAAAACAAGCTTCAAATGACCGAGGGGGTCACTCCGTTCAAATAAAATCGAACTCAACATGAGGAGCACACAGGAGGGCACGTGTACCTCACTACCAAAATCATATCACAATTAAAATGAAAATCGCATGCCCATGCAGATAAAAAACATTGCACAGCATTTTTGGGGCAGGCCGTAGCCTGCAGCCTGCAGTTGCTGGAGGTTGCTTTGAGCTCTCTGGCCGGTAGGGCACCGCGCCCCAGCAAGCAACGCAGAGTGGCACCGGCCACCGACAACAAAACCATCTCAAATTAAACCAAATAATAATTTGTCGGGAGGGAGGATAAAAGGTTATGTTCCTTGGGAGAATGAATAAATGTTAATTTTGACAAAGCGATTATTATTATGCAAGGGTCCGACAAACATTCAGCTTGAACTTATTTGGTAGTTAGTTTGCGATTGTTGTTTGTTCGTTTGTTAACCCAATCGCTGGAGGGAAAACACCAAGGCAGAGTTAAGCGAGTCAATGCAAGAAGAAACAAACAAAAAACAATCCAAGCATTACAAATGCACAGGTGAGGAACAGTGACCAGGCTGTATGAGGCGGCATATTAAAGGTGACTGAGGTGCGGTCAGGGGTAAAAAAAGGGGGTTGCAGCAATTTTAGCTCATCATGCAGACACGAAGAGATCAGACTCACGCCCGTAAGTGGTGGCGGCAGTATTGGTGGTGGTGAGAGGAGGAGTGCCTGCAGCTGCGTGTGTTGGGGTAGAAAGGTTTGTTACATCGTGGTGGTGGCTAGCTACCGAAGGCTGCCGCCTGAGAGATCCCTGCAAGGAAGAGCCGCCCTGGAAGGCGTTCACTACCCCCATCTGGAAATGGGGGGAGGAGCGAGAGAGAGAGGAGGAAAGAAAGATGCAGAGAAAAAAAGCAATAAAAATGTAAAAGGCTCACTTAGTTAGACACAAGCAAAAAAACACACACAGAGAAATGAAAAGAGCACAGGCTAGCCCATGCAAGAGGGTGGAAGGACCACCAGTCGTAAACTGTGCAGAGGCTCTCGCGAGCTGCACTCTAGGGTTGAGATTCAGCCGTTTTATGTTTCGGGTGCCATCATTTCAACAGTGAAGGCTACCAAGCCAGTAGGCCACATATTCCAGCAAGCCACATTTCCGCACGTTTTTAGGTGTGTTTTCACATTTACATCATGGGACCTCCTTTGCCAGTACCAAAATATGAGAATAGGTTTTCCCCTTTTTCTGGCAAGCTTTCAAAGCTGTCTCTAGTGTGGCCCAATCAGTTTAAAAGACAATGCATATATTATCAGAGTATGTTTTTTGTTTGCATTCTGACCACAAGTATTGTGGTTAATGCAGACATGATTCCTTGTAAAAGGTTTCAGTTTGGTATTTTAACAACTTAACACCTGTTTTGTTGCCAGAAAAAAGGGGAAAACCTATTCTCATGTTTCATATTATATATATAATTATATATAAAATGTAATTGTAATAATTTTCACTTTTTTAAGGTAAATTTACATGCGAACATTACAACTTTTCTGACGAAATTAGCCTTCAAGTGTTTGCCTCATAACATGCTGGCGGCATCTGCACAGCAATATTAAAACACAAGTGTCAAATGTTAAACATTTCCTGTCACAGTGACTTGAAACTGAAATGTGACGGATGCGTTTTACAAATATTGCACAAAGGCCACGGGTAATCAGTGCAATGCTGTTGCCTCCAATTTGAAACAACAATGTGCATTCATTAAGCCCCTATAGTTGCTCATTGGTACAGGGCAGGTGGTGGGAGACATGCCGACAATATCGCCAGGCTCCATCTTTGAGCCAAGGCAGCTCAGTTGAAACACTTTTAGGGGTGTCATGGTGGAGAGATGACAACATCCCTCGCCTGGTATGGAGGAGGTTGTGGGTTCCATCCCGACCCTGACGCCTGCTTGTATATTTGGAGTTTGCATGTTCTTCCCGTGGTCACGTGGATATTTCTCTGGGTCCTCCGGTTTTCCCTCCACATTTAGAAACATGCATTTAAAATATTTGGCTGCTTTAAATTTCCACATGATAAGCGACTTCATTGGGGTATAATTTGTGATAGGCAGTTCGTTTCTAAAAAAGAGTTAGATAGCGCAGTGGGCCTTATCCAGTATAATAAAAAATAGTTTTTTTAGTAGTGACAGTTTAACCTGGGCCAGGCAAGGGATCTGCTGAGGAACTCACAATCCACACTGAGGCACTGTCCTCAAAATTGTTTTAAATGTATACGACTAATTGGGAGTAAATTATATACCCTGACAACAATGGTTTAACCAGTTTGTTATTGATTCATAATAACATTTTGTGTAAGGCCACGTGTCATTAAGACCCTTCACCACCTAACGTAGCAGACAAATTAAACGGGCACGCGTTCCAGAGTTTAACAAGCCAATTGTTATTATTCTTCCAGCTCACCACTCCGTTGACTAACAATTCGCAAAACTGCTTTTAGTAATTGGATATTGTGTTTTGTTTCAAACTATATGTCAAACTACTTGACCTTACTCCTGCTAATGTTCCGTGATGCTGTTCGCGACAAGAAACAAATAAAAATGAGCAGTAACCACATTGCAAATATCAAACCCAATTCCCCTCATGTTGGCGCATGTGCCACGAAGCAATGTGGTTGCAAAACATTGCAGTAATTGGGCACGATGTAGAAACTGTGCACCATTTAAATTCTGATAAATGAAATCGTCCAACATTTCGGCAAATGATTGCCTCTGCCAAGTCTTTTATAACACAACGATTAATTCAATATCAATCACCTGTTATCGACGTCTTTTGAGCAGTCAATGTCACTGCTGGAATTTCGTTAGCATGGTTCAGATACACGCCGCATAGTTTTGTCTGCAGGTTGCAGAATGTCATCTGAGAGTACCAGGTTCTTTTCAAGAATGTTTTACGTCAACATTTTGGCCACATTAAGAAATAATTTGAGTCAGGGTTGCAGTAATAGAAGCACATTCCTGCCAAGAGATATGTAATAGCCACAAGCACAAAACAATTCAGCTGTAACCTTTTTGATTGTATTATGATTGTTAACCCACGAAAGCCTCACTGGGTCTCAAGGCTATTTCAGAAGGCTCCTGCAAGGATTTTTGCAGTAAGGGGCGATGCTGGTACGTGTGTAATGGGTTCCGGAGACACTTGTAGAGGTAACTTCTTTATTACAATACAACACTCCAACAGTCCTGATACTCTGTTACAGCCTAGGGACACAGCCTAGAGATACAGCCTCCTCCTAGCGTACCTGACTCTGGCTACGCTCTGGGGTCCTCCGGCTACAATTACCCTAGGGGAGGCTACCTGACCCGACCCAGCCAAGGTGCGGGTCTAGACTCTGGCTTCCTCGGAACTCGCCCTGACAAGGACGTAGAGCCGGGAGTCCCAGAGTCCCACCACTGGCTCGCACAGCGTCCCGGCCCTTACAAGGACAAGCGGGACGAGGGGGTCCAGGGTCCTAAGCTGGCTGGTCTTGGGTCTTGAGCTGCGACTGGCCCCGATCGGCTAGGGAGCGGCCCTTTTATCCCTCTTGCCCATCGAGGGGTGGAGTTGTGTGGGGTCCCAGATACCCCACAGCCCCCGTTGGTTGCGCCAAGGGGCTTAGCTGTCTGGGTTGTCTGGGATCCTAGAGCCCGGCGCCGAGGGCTTAGCTGCCTAGGATCCTAGAGCCCCCAACAGCCCCCCCCCCTCTTGGGCTGGCACAGCGGCCCCTCCCCTGGGGGTCCGAGGTACCTGCAGATGGGCCCTGTCCACCACTGCCGGTAAGTGTGGCCCATCTATGGCACTACACGTGTAATCTCGATCGCGTCACTCGGAGGTAACTATTCAGCATTCAGATGTGTGCCTACTACCAGTTAGTTTTTTTTGTTTTGCCATGGGAGGAGGAAACCAGAGAATCCAGGGAGAGAATACAAGCTCCACTACAGAAAGGTGCCAGTCGGGAGTCGAACCCCAGGCTTTCTGGCCGTGGGTCACGAATGTCACCGCTGGGCCGCTGCCACCCCGCGACCATGTCCTTGTTGAGGATTAGGGATTGGATATAACTCGCTCTCGCGGTCCACAGATTGATCGGCTGGAGTTGCTAGAAATTATGGCACCTGGCTCGGCAACGGACAATATTTCCGCGCTCTCTAACAAACATTTGGATGAACCATTCTGCAGCAATAACTTAAATGTTCATGATTCAAATTTAGATCGTGTAATTTTACGTGTTGACGCCTAAAAAAAGAAGAAAGTTTAAAAGAAATAAGACACAATGGACAGAAACATCCATAGTTCAGTGCACATTTAGAAGACATTGAAAACCAAATGCATTCATGAACTTGTCAAGAATATCATGTAGGAAACCCAAGCGGGGGGTTAACTTACTTGCAAGTTTGACGACGTCAACATTTCTATTTGTGCTGAAAAAGAAGCTTGATCACATTGCACAAAGAAGACAAGTGCATGCGACAAGTAGGATAAGTTACGAACGAGAAGGAGCCATTCGGTTCATCAAGTGCAAGGGCATTTAGGAACACTCGATAAGAAAGGGGTGGGGGGGTTAATGAACAGAACAATGTAACTCGGTGTAAATTTTGACGAGGAGAGTTATTTTACGCCGTATGAGGGTTTTCAGTGCCGCTGCTGCTGCAAAAAAAGCTCAGATATCAGTTGAACACACGCGCTGGCCTTCAGACGCAGAGCGGCTTGGCGTGTTTTCGCATTCAGGGCACTAGCGCTTACCAGCCAAGCTGCAACAGGTCACCCACGGTAAATGAATATTTAAGAACGATCGTTGGTCACACAGTTCCGTTACCCCTCCCTACTTCTGGCGCTGCGAGTGCTCCGTTGGACCATAACAGCGCAAAGAAATATCACCTCGGAGCTGTTGTAACACCTCACAGATGGCTCACTGCCCTGGTGTGGGCACACAGGCTCAGCGGGAGGACACGGCAAAACAGTTCTCCACAGGAGTGGTGGAGCGCTCGGCCAAGACGAGCGGAGGGTGCGTGCGTGATCGGAGTGCTGAGGCCGGCAGGCGGTGGCGGTCGGTCGGTCAATTCCTAACTGGGTGAACGCGGTTGAGAGTGAGAGGGCCCAGGCCAGGCCACCGCTGCCACAGGGCCTGGTACGACGCTTCACCACTCTGCCACGCGCGACTTCACACGCTGCAGTTGTGACACCACTGCAACTGTGGTGCTTCACGGATAAAGGGCCAGAATATCCAATCCGTTTGCACTGTACTGCTGTAATTGAGATGCAAACCGATGTGGCTTGGCTTGTATTGCTATTTAATATTATCTTGGCTTTTACAGAATTTAGCGAGCCATATATTAATTTGCATTGTGGGAATTCTGAGATCACATTTCTTCAGTTGAAAATATTTACTCCATAAAGTACAGTAATTAATGATAACTTTTGTTTAAGGCCTCCCTGGTAAAAGCCTGTGCACCGAACTTACCATGTGTTACCACTGTATGTTACAGTGGTGGCGTACTGTACATTACTATGCTAACATACATGTTAACGTACAGTGCGTGAATCATGCTGGCCAGCATCATCAGGAACTGCGGTGTCCTCCTTCACCCTTAGCTTTGTTCCCCCACTCTCCCCTTTCATCGCAAGTCCACGTAGCGCTGGGAAGGCCACAGCCTGCCCTCAGCAGGAGGCTCATATGAGGCCAGAGTGCGTGGCCACCTGACAATGGTCGAACCAACGCTTTTACAGCTTTCATGAAACAATGTGTGATTAAAAAGGGAGTTTAGGATAGTGACTTAGAATTAATATTTGTTTTGTCATGTTGTTTTCTAACAAATGCAGTTAAACGATTAAAGGAAGCAGTCACATGACAGCCTGCATGCTCTGCATTAGTGTGACCTCTGACAAAATGACCCCTCGGCAACTCGCTTGACCAAAAGTAATTCCCTGCACTTCCGGGAACTCGCTGGACCAACGGAAACTCGCTGGACCAACGGGAACTCGCTGGACCAACGGGAACTCGCCAGACTCAGCATGACTCCTGCCCCATTTTGCATCAGGCCACTTTGCAAGTTAGAAAAACCCTGCAAGCCGTTGCAGCATTTAAAACAAATTATCTTAACATCCTTGTGAGCCGTATAATATATATATATTTTTTAAAATCAACATCCCACTTGTGCTATCAGCAGCTAAGCAAATAGGTGACGCAGGGATGACTTGGAGAAGTGACACCATATACCTCATCCCGCTGTCCTTTAAAAGCTTCTCTTGCTAAACATTTTACATTTAAACTACTATGCTAGAGTGGTTCTCACTGACTCTGTCTACACGTTACGCAATCCAAGCTGTGAATTTATTCAATTCTATTTTGCGCCATTGCACGTTGGCCCCATCTCCTCTTCTACAGAAACCGCTTATTGATCTTGGGAGGCCATGTGGGAAGAAGACCCCAGCTCTCAGCAGCGCTGGCACCGTGACTAAAGTCAGGCAGGAGCCCACTGAGCCCACGGCACCTCCACATCTCTGAGCAACGTAGTTTTTTTCTGATGTTGATTTCCACTTTGTTCTCATGGGATTAGCCCTTCATGCCATTTCATTGTTGTGCAGGCAATCGGAGTTTTTACAAAGTATGCACGTACGTTTAACTTTTTTAGCAGCGTACGTAGCCAACCGTGTCAATCGGGGGTGTTCGGATGCTGATGCAACACAAGGGGGCAGGGCGTGGCAATAAAACAAAGATGGGGGCCACGTTCGGGCCTTTCACGGCATCCAGCAGCCCATTAAGCAGCCAATTCGCCGTGCGACGAGAGGGAGCTCGAGCGAGCCCCTCTAGAGCATAATTTAGCCTACACCTCCACGCCGGCCAGATGTCTTGGAAGAGGTGGGAGTACCCACGCTTTACCCCACCGCACGCGACCTGCCGTCATACTGACTGCTGTGGTACCCATTTTAATTAACTGGGTGGACGGAGGTGGCCTGGGCATGGGGTGAAATGTAAGAAACTTTTCCTCATTGTTTAATTCGCTCCATGGAGCCCAGCGCGCTGACGCATCGCGCCATGGCAGCATCCCCTGCAGAGGGCACAAAGGGGCATCGCAAAGCCGCTCAGCTGGCCACCCGCAGACACGCGCCTCTGAAGCATCTCCCGTGGCTGTCTTTGAGGTGGCTCGAGCTGGCGGCGAGCCGGCTTCAAGGGGGAGTTGGTCGAAACTTTGCGAGCAGAAGGTGTGAGCACTAGCAAGCTTCACTTCAGAGGGATATTGCGTGCTCCCCGCCCTCCGCCCCCCGCCCCCCAGCGCGCTGCTGGACACTCATGGAACCGATGCTATCCCACGGGGCAGGGACGGACATCTAAAGGTGCAGATCCTCCACCTGGCACAAATGATAAAATTAATTCTCTAAAAAAGGGCAGACTGCCACCCTGCACTGCTCTGGCAAGGGAGCGCTGGACACAGGTTGGTCCGGTTGTGTGGGCCGCTGAGCGTTCTCCCCTCACACTCTGGGGTTTCCCTGGGTGTCATATTTTTGATCCCACGTGTGAAACACTCGTCGAAAACTTCCCAACGCTCGGACCATCCCGAAAAGGTCTGGAGACTCAGCAAGGCATGCAGCGTTAAAGAAATGACATTCATAATATTAGCATCGTTCAAATACCAGTACAGGTAGGATTCCATCTATCCCAGTAATTCTGGCGACTTCTAAACCAATGCTTCGCTTTACACTTGTAACGTTACATTTTTAGAGGTTGACACTTGGACACTATTTGTGAAGTGTAACAAGTAACCCATTAATATGATTGGCAATCATATTAATGGGTTGCTGAGTGTTCTGTGGTGGATGAGACTCCACAGATGGGGTCGATCGACTGGGTTTGGGGGGGGGGGTAATCTTCTGCGATTGTCTGCGTTGCAACGTGGGGGGCCAAGCATGAGCGGCAAGGCCAAGCACGCACACACGGGGGAGCCAGGAGGGGTGGTGAGCGGATTCCTGCCTCAGGGCTTCCACACCAAAGCTCTGCCATCTTGGATTTCACTCCTTCCATAGGTGCAATTGTGAACAAAATAAAATAAGCGAATAGAGTACAAGTCAGCTGTTACTGGAGTTAATCGTTCAACTTATTTGCGAAATGTTTCTTATTTTTGCACGTGGCTTAAGCGAGTAGCAACTTGCAGATCTATATACACGCTTGAAAGCGGCTGAAAGAGTGCCAATTGCGCATAGTGTAGTAGCTTTGGCTTGGACGACGTTATTTCCTCCAAGAGAATTGCCGTGTATGATGGCGACCACGAGGTTTCTGGTCGAAACCCAGCAGGCATCGTCACCCTTCTGACATAAGAACAAAGTTGCCACATGATATTTTGTCACCGCCTGACAGAGAAAGATCAGAGCCCAGAGGAAGGGTGGCGCGCCCCACAAGGAGGTGGCAAATCGACCTCACGGTGCTTCGGGCAGAGGCAGAGCCATTGGGGCTGCAGGGGCAGCCTCGCTTAAGAAGCGTGCCAGCCGAGGGTGCCACCAGATCCCTCGGGAAGGTGCTCAATTTTCGTTAAACAGTCATGACGTAGAGCCGATCCACGACAGCCACAGTCCGGTATCTCTGTAGCGTGCATACGCTGTTACCATGGTTCACAAGATGATTAGTACAAGCGGTGTGCACGGCTGAGTTTGAATCTAGAACCCAGAGCGTGAAGCAGGAGACTGCATCACGGCCCCTGGTGCTGCTTTAATTGCAGCAAGGGCCCAGGTGGACTGTGTGGTTACGTGTGTGGACCGCGTGTGGTGTGAGTGTTATGCGGGTGTGGTGCGTGTGTGTGGTGCGTATGTGTGTCGCGTGTGGTGCTCGTGTGATGCGTCTGGTGCGTGTATGGGCCATGTTTGGTGCGTGTGTGGTGTGCGTGTGTGGGTCGCGTGTGGTGCGTGTGCGGTGCGTGTGGTGCGTGTGCGGGTGTGTGTGTGGGCCGTGTGTGGTGCGTGTGGTATGTGTGTGAAACACGCGGCATGGCAGCGCGGAATTGGTTGTGCGGTGGTTCGTGCTGCATTTCGCTACGAGTGCGGCGACTCGAGTTAAATTAACGCTCACGACCAATAACAGTGGCAGATATTTGAACTGGTCCTGGGCCTCACCGAGGTTTGACTCGGTCTCAAATGAGTACCTCGTTCGGTGTGTAAACATTCGCACTGGGGGGAGACAAAGGCGTGGCGTTGGCCACCCAACCCCTCGTGCGCTGTGCCGGCCTTCAATGGGCACTGCTCGCTAACAGCACTTGTCCGAGCAGCGTGTTGAGGCTACACGGGGAGTCTCTGCATCTGTGCGTGGGAGCGTACCTGTGTTTGTATTCTGTGCAGGCCACGGAACCACAAAATCTGTCCACGGCGAAGCTCTCGCTCTGCGTGATCAATCTCCTCCTCGTCCTCCTCCTCGTCCTCGGGAATATCGTCCTTGTGCGTGCCGTGCCCCGCCTCCTTCAGGAAGTGGAGGTGCGCCGTGGGGATGCTCGAAATGAGCTGCGGGAGAGCGGCATCACCGCGGCACGGGGGCGCACAGTGACTCATACAGTAACTGACACGGTGACTTACACGGTGACTGTCACAGTGACTCGCACCGTGACTGGGACGTTGACTCATACGGTGACTGGCATGGTGACTTACACGGTGATTCACACGGTGACTGACACGGTGACTCGCACGGTAACCGGAGCTATAATGTAGACTATAATGTAGACTCTAGCCTGGCTCTTAACCTCGGTGAGCGTACTGGCAGTCTATAATTATAGACTATAATTATAATTATAGACTATAATTATAGACTGTCAGTACACTCACCCAGGACACTCACCCAGCTTCATAACCATTGCTACAGTCGACATTATAGACTGACAGTACACTCACAAAACTTAATAACCAGGCTACAGTCTACATTAGAGACTGCCAGTACACTCCGATTAAAAACCAGGCTACAGTCTACTGTCTACATCAGCGTTTTTTTATTATTATTTTTTATTTTTTTATTTTTCTAACTACGTGACTTTACCGAAAGAACCAAAGAATATTTGGTTGCTGGTGCCCTCATTCCGATTCGGTTGCTTTAGCACCTGATTTCTATTTGCTCGGTGTTTGTTGTGCTCAGTATTCATCACGTTTATGTATCTGTCATGTTGGTGACCCTGGTCAGTCGCTATCGCCAATTTGGGACTCATCCTGGTGGCTTCAGTTCTCACTTGGCTGGACCGCCTCTCCCGCCACTGACCGCCTCTGCCGCCACTGACCGCCTCTCCCCCCATGCGGATGGCTGTGTGTGTGGGGAGGTTTGATCCTGTTACCGGGGAGCGATGCGTGCACCGCTCGTGGTGGTTACCTGTCCCCACAGCAGCTCGCCCAGTGACAAGAAGACGCACCACAGCCATTGGTCGAACTTGAGGCCTGTACAGCTGAAGGGTTTCCCACCAAACTGCACAATGACAATCTGTACACATCATACAGCCGCGGTTAGGTCATTGCTACGTCATTAATATTAAATAAGTTATCTGTGTCCCGATATCATAACGCACGATTTAAAAACTATTGCCATATGTAGACTTTTTTCAGTTAGGTGATGTAATGCAACGATCAGGACAAATTTGTGTTTGAAGACCGTCCACCACCTGACATAGCCAAAACAATAAAATTGTTGAGTGTTCAAGAGTTTAACGCGCCAATTATTATCGTTCACTGGAAAGTTGAATAACCATCCCGCAACCATAGCAATTAACACAAATAAATTATGCCTAATAATATCGTCTGTGAAAATCACCGTGTCAAGGTATTGCCACACCGATGGAATTGGTTCGTCGCAGATGACCAATGGAGCTCACTGAGAAGAAACAAACGGTTAACGGGCTAACTCCAGTGGCCCCCGAGTATTGCTCGCTACCGAGCAGCGCTTATAACAAAAGTGCCCGTAAACCAATCGCGCAACTTTTAACAGTGGACGGCAAACGCTCTGAGACGAGACGAAGGCAACGTGTCGCGTTCGCCCCCCGCCCCCACCCCTCCCCCTCTCGGAGGCACGACCTGGATGATGAAAGTGCCGACGACGATGGAGCAAAAGATGGGGTTGCGGTAGATGCCCTCGAAGACGTTGCGCTCCCCGTGGATCTTGCGCGCATTGATCTCGTTGAAGAGCTGCATGAGCACGAAGGTGTTGAACACGATGGTGTAGTGCTCCGAGGGCGGCGCGTGCAGCGGCGCGTTGCGCCCGCTGTCCACGTCAAACAGCGTCTCGCCTGAACACGAAGCCCACAACGATGAAGCCCACAAGGACGATGACGACGACGACAACGACGACAGCAGCAGCGTTCGTCAACCGTTCAGTGTTATGGCACGCATCGAGCTGCGCGCCGGTGTCAATAGCGAACACGCTCAACTCGCAGTCCTGACGTCGCCGGTTCGACTCCATCTCCCGGCGAGGCAGTTGGCTCAGCCGAGTCGAGTGCACACCCGAAAATCCGACCCGCTGTTACCACGGCAACCGTTCATTCTTTCTCGGCAATATATTTTTTTGTTAGTCGTAAATCTTGAACTCAAAGTGACTGCTACTTCAAATATCGTTTCCCATTAATTACCGCTATCATTGACGGCCCTTACAATTGGCGCTGCCTGTGTTGTCTGTGAAAAATGAGCCACCTCTCACGCCGGTTTCCCCTTTTGTTGCCTCGCGTAATGTTCCCGCAGTTTATTATTTCAGCCTTACTTTTGACAGATCTTCACTGCGACGCGATAAATCTTTAGGAATGAGGTGATGAGAGCCCTTTCTCAGCTGCAAATTAAAGTGATTAGTTTCTCTGGGTTGACACGTTTGTCACACCTGCCGAAGAATGGGACGCTAAACAAAGCAAAGGAGTTGCTCAGCTCCATATAGACGAAGCTGTCAATAATGGAGACACTGTACTAACATTACCATGATAATTGGGGGAGTGGTTACAGTGGTTAGTGCACTGCACTATGCAACCAGATGTCTCAGTTTGACTCCCAGCCACCGCTAGCATCAGTGGCGAGTGATACGTGAAACGGACCTGAACCCCATAATTCACAAACCTGTATTGGCCAGCGTGGTGAAGTATGGTCAAACAACTCCCATGCCCGACACAACACAGAGAGGTCTCCATCAAGCAGTGCATCGACAAGGAACTGTTGTAGTATATATCTTTAAATTATCGCCATAATTAACCTAACAATGTACTAACCCTTGAGGTCCTTACTTACACTGAGCTAACGGAGTGTTGATGGGCTTGAAGTGAGACTGAAGACGCATGTTTATGATGTAGCTTCACTCGTTATGTTGTTACTCGCTTTCAGAACTCTTACGTGTTTCTAATCAATTTGCACTTCTTACAGCACCTTCACACTTGTTGCCCATTACTCTTTTTCTCCGATGCAACTATTCACAATCTTTAAATTATAATATTTAAATATATATTTTGCTTTTTTTACATTTCCGAAACAACGACCACCAATCGGAGCCCAAACAGCAGGCGTGTGCGCGAGGGACGTCACCGTCGCCAACGCGGTCGGCGGAGAGCGGTACCGGTGAAGAGCAGCGTGAAGATGACGGTGAGTTGGTAGACGGCGTGGCCCAGGATGTTCTTCATCATGGTGCGCGAGATGAGCGGCTTGTTGCGCCCGTACGGCCGGCGCAGGAGCAGCGCCTCGGTGGGCGGCTCGGTGGCGAGTGCCAGCGACGCGAACGTGTCCATGATGAGGTTCACCCACAGCATCTGCACCGCCTTGAGCGGGGAGTCCTGGGCACGAAAAAGACGCGGGCAGATCGGCTTACCCCCCCCCTCCTTCGTCGGCAACACCGCGCAAGGCGCCGCAGAAATAGAAACACGTTCGCCGAGCTTGAAGTCGAGAGGAGCCGAGGCTGCACACGGTCGAGGGCGCCGCTCCAGCTCGGGCACGCGGGGGGTTCAGAGAGAGAGGGGCCCACCTGCGTGATGCAGGCCCCCGTGAAGGCCACGATGACGGCCACCACGTTGACCGTGAGCTGGAACTGCAGGAACTTGGAGATGCTGTCGTAGACGTTGCGCCCCCACATCACCGCTTTCACGATGGAGCTGAAGTTGTCGTCCGTCAGGATGATGTCCGACGCCTCCTTGGCGACGTCGGTGCCCGCGATGCCCTGGTGAGCACAGACGGGGATGCAATTCCGCCCGTAACCCTCGCTGGTAAAAGTGCACAGCCCTGCAGTAGCAACTCCGGAGGCTATTTGACCTACACGTCCACGCCGGCCGGACGTCCAGGAAGAGCCACCGCACGTGACCTGCCGATCGACAGACCGTGGCGAACTCATTGCTGCAAGGGTGAACAGAGGTGGGGGGGGATTTAAGAAGCTTGCATCGTTGCTTTAGCCGCCGCACCAGGAGCTCAAATCGAACCGCCGGCTTCTGGATTGCAAGTGCAGAGCGCTCACCGTGGCAGGATCCCTTAACCTGTCATGGTCCGGGTTACTTCCAGCAGTACGTCAGGCGGGCACTGCTTATACGGTCGTCCCGTAACGACGGCGAATAAAGCCTCACGCCAATCTAAATTCTGTTTTCATGACGCAAAGAAAGCGTTCTTTTGGATTCATAAATCATTCAAAGGCAACTGTGCTGTAGAAACATGGCGGGACACAGGCTTTACAGGCAGATCTCTAATTGGCATGTTTGGCTACGTACAGTGCGGAAGAAGTTCAACATACTTACATCTATCGAAATACAGAGCGGTGGTCACAGGCGGAGAACTATTAAATTCAACTATTTTTTTTTTATTTTACCAGGTAAGGCCCACTGAGATATATTACTCTTTATCAGAAGCCACCTGGCCACAAATTATATCTCAACAAAGTGCTTTTTCACGTGGAAATTTATAGCAGCCAAATACTCTAAACGCATGTTGATTCCAAATGTAGAGGGAAAAAAAACGGAGAAAAATCCACGCAACCACGGGGAGAACATGCAAATTCCAAATATACAGCAGGGCGTCAGGGTCGGGATCTAATCCACGACCTCCTGTATACCAGGCGAGGCAGTTAACATCTCGCCACCAGGGCAACCCACATAAGAGGGAGGTCCTGGGCCTGGACTGGAACAGGACCCAACGGGGTAGTCACCATAACTTGCACACACGCCGTACATAGACCACGTCGTGAAAGGCAAGAGGTTCACTGTGGGTGCAGGTGACACCCCAGGGGAGCTCACTCACATAGTCACTCACTTACTCAGTCACTCACTCACTCAATTCCAGCGGCCACTCTGGGCACACCGGCTACTGTGTGAACATTCAAGACTCCTCTCTGGTTCCATCAGCACAGGCTTTGTATTCTTGTATTTTGCATGTAATATCGCGAGCTTGGGGGGACAACGGCTATTGCAGAATCCCCATAATGCGAATGAAAATGCGAATGAAAACGGCTAACCGGCAGTGAGGAACACACAGAGTTGGAATTGGTGAACCGTTGGGGTATTACCCATTACTGATAAATAAAAAGGTCATTCTGGAATTTCCAAACCTCGATATGTATATCTTACATAGGATTTTTTTATCATTATGATTAAACTTCTTTGCCCTGGAAAGCCTCAAGATTATTTTTCTGGAGAATGTTCCTGCCAAGATTCCGCAGGAGATCGCCGTGCGGCAATGCTGCTGCTGCGTGTGCCCCATTGAGAAATTTGGAAATCACTTTTCAGCATTGGCCAATAGCAGTCACATTGCATGGTTTGTCTTTTTAGCTATGGGAGTAAACTGGAGAACCCGAAGGAACCCCACGCAGAGCGGTGGGGAAGGGGGAGAACATTCAAACGCCAAGCAGAAAGACACCCAAGTCAGGAATCGAACCCGGGTTACCGCTGCGCCACTACCCCGCTGTCCCCAGCAGCGTGATACCGCTTGGTTGATATTGTTCCTAAATATTCGTACTTTTTTTTAAACGTTCAACTTTGTCTGTGAGAAAGCATTCTGACCATATGGGAATAACAGAGCACACCGTTTGAGCTCCGGATAAATGTTCACCACCCTCAGAAATCGGTCGCAAGTTCAACTGGCACGGCTGACTCCAATCGTGTTGGCTGCCTCGCCAGAGGAAAGCGATTGTGAACAGGAGAATGGGAGGGGAGGGAACGGGAGGGGAGGGCCTCCCCCCCACCACCCTGGATCCGCAAACTGCCTCCATGAAGAGTCTAACTACAAACATAGACCGTCGGAATGAGAGAGACTAGTGGGAGTTGGGAAGCGGTCGTCTTTGGTCCGTGGCGTTTGCTTGGTGCAGCAGCAACAGAGCAACAACCGAGCAGCAACCGAGCAGCAACGGAGCAGCAATGGAGCAGCAATGGAGCAGCAACAGAGCAGCAGGGGGCGCCGAGTGGCGGTTTCTCTCCGCTGTGGGCGGGAGCGAGCGCTTGCACGGCCATGGAAACTAACTCCAGTGCCAGCGATTTCAGCGCCTACACCGGTGCGTCAACATTTTCAATATGGAACACAGGCACGGGGTGCCAATAGGTTAACGGTGCCTCGCATTTTCTGTTTAATAAGTTACGGATTTAATGTTACTTGCGCAAACTTAATCGAACGAGAGGTGTGTACGTACTCCCCCCGTTCTGCACTGGTGTCCTCAGGGGTTCTCCAGAGATAGAAAAACCTCAGAGCGGTGTGATTGGTCTTGGCCAGACATCCCAATGCTAAAAATGTTACCTTCAAATGAATACAAAAATGGGATTGCACAGCAGCTGCAGCAGCAGCAACATCATCTCCCTCCTTCAAAAAACCTGGCAGGGCCCTCCTAACAAAGAGCCCTGAGCTACAGTTAGACTGTCCTGGGTTAACGAGGGTTGTAATACGAAATAATAATAAAAACAAAAATTAAAAGTCCATCTTCATTAGCAGAAACTATGACTGTATGTGTTCATATAATAATAGTGTCGCACATTGTTCATAGTATAAAGACAACTTGAACACTATTTGTCCATATCAGTATTTAGATGTGTAGCATTTTTTTAAATATTCTGTCAATTGACCATACTCTTTGGTTCTTTCGTGACTTTACCGAAAGAACCAGAGAGTATGGATTCCTGCAGTCACGAAAGCTTCAAATCAAGATTATCAATTGACCAGTTTACTAAAGATGGCGCTTGAGACAGACACGTCTGTCTGCCACAGGGACAGCTGTTGGTGAAAGGACACCACGAAGCACATTTCTTGGGTGCTCAGACTTCAGATTTCATCAGGACAATCCCTATTTTTACCGTGGGTTTGACCCAATAAGAGGCGTAAACCCGTTGGATTTAACGGTTAATCATCGAGCGCCATTGACACTGGACCAGCCACGTCGCCGCTTCGTGACCCTTGCCAGAGCAACTCGCGTATATCGCCAGGCTCCAGAGGCATGAATTAACCATGGTCACACTCGACGAGCACTGTAACCGAGTGCTCCGCTAATTAAATGTCCTCGGGCTAATTGGCCACCTGCGGGTTTGAAACGGGCCAGACGCACGGACGGAGCGGGAAGCTGTGCTATGCCAACTTCGCCGAAGAGAGTGCAAACTTCCGGAGCTGCCACCTGACGTCCGTCCGCGATGGACGCCAATCTGCTCGGATGCTGTGATGCGCTTTTGCAACGTCGCGGTATGCTCTTCGTTGCAGAGAAGATTATACAGAATCAGTGAAATGTAAAAAAAATGTCCTCTCAATTGGAGCTGCAGTGATTTGAAAATAACTCAATAACCGTGCATAATAAAGAAAAAGTATGTTTTTTAAGGGAGTGTTATTACCATAACATTTTTTCTTCACTAGGTAAGTCCCACTGAACTGTGTAGCTCTTTTTCAGAAGCAACCTTGTCCCAAATGATAGCTCAACGGCTTATCATCATTTGGAGATGTATAGCAAGCAATTAATCTAAATGCATGTTGATTCTAAATATGGAGGGAAAAAACGAGAGGACCCAGAAAAAATCCACGCAGTCACTGGGGAGAGAGAAATGGAGAAAAATCCACGCGACCACGGGGAGAACATGCAAATTCCAAATATACAGCAGGCATCAGAGTTGGGATTGAACCCACGACCTCCTGCATACCAGGCGAGGAAGGTAACATCACGCCACCGTTGTGCTCCAAGATAACATCACGCCACATTGACAAACATGCACAGTTTTTTTTCTACGTGTCCTTCAGCGCCACTGCCGATGCAGTATCACCAATAAATCTGTCGTGTTTTGAGAGCGTTAATGGGAGTAACCCGCTCGCTCGACGTGTTTTGCCTCAGCGTAGCTTCACATTGCGGTACAGTAGACACACGAAGACACCACCACGCTTACATAAGAACATTTCCCATGTGCTACCGTCAGAAAAGAGGAAAATTCCACTGTGTTTAAAAATATTTTGTTTTCCTACCAAAATCGCTGTTAAGGATAACAGCAGAAGAAGCAGTTGCCCCGCGCACCAGAGAAGTCTAAATTTATACCACATGCAAAAGACGGAAGGGCCGCGAGGGGATTGTGCGATTCCAAAACCAATTATGCATAGTGTCAACAACCGGCCTTGTAAGGTCAAACCACTTTATTTAGCTGAGATCATGACCATGTATTGAGAGCAGGAAGAGAAGTCTTACGGCTGCACAGTGGTTCCACCCCACCCTATGGATTCTACCGCACGGTGTAGTCCGAGCTGTGGTTACCGCATCTCAAGCACCAGTAGCAGCTGGCATGTGGTGGTGGAGCTGTGCTGGGTATCACAGCAGCAAGCAATGTCCACTGGAATAAAGGGGACCGCGGTGGTGAGATGTTAACTCCCTCACCTGGTATACAGGAGGTCGTCGGTTTGAACCTAACTGGGTCCTCCGGTTTTTCCCTCCACATTTATAACTAACTTGCATCAGGGTATTTGGCTACTGCTATAACATTTCCACGTGATAAGCCACTTCACTCATCTATCATTTGTGGCCAGGTCGCTTCTGAAAAAGAGCTATATGACTCAGTGGACCTTATCTGGTAAAATAGAAACAGTTTACAGTTTAAATAGTTGTCCTGCTCCGACCTCTTCACCAACGCACACGGGCCAGCGTGGTGAAGTATGGCCAAACCCCCATGATCGACACGGCATGGGAAGGCCTCAATCCAGCAGTGAATTGCGAAAGGTATGTAATTTACGACGTTTTAATCATACCGAGGAAATGGAGTGATGAAGTCAGCTCGTGTGCAGGTACTCAAAGGATGATTACGTCACAGGATAGTGTGAGATACGCCTTCATCACCAGCAGTGGATTGACTATGGCGACGGCGATGACAACATTTTGATCAAAACGATCAGAAACGTGGAATGTCAACAAAAAAACGAGTGAACAAAAACTGAAAAGTGCTCAAAAGGGAGCATGGACAGACGGAAGCAGGAAGCCAGTGATTGTAGAACGTGCGGCAAAAGCCAAAAATAAATTACGAATCGTGACACACTGGGCTGGGGAAAATCTGCGCGTTAAGTAAAAACTCCGTTTAAAAAAGCACAACTTAGCAGCGGGGGAATTTCGATTTAAAGCTTTCGTGACTGCAGGTATTCATCTTCTTGGTTCTTTCGGTAAAGTCACATAGAAGGGAAGTAATAAAATAATAAAAATAAAACATAATAAAATGATTCTCACGACGTTTCGGCCACAACGCAAGCAGCCGTCCTCAGGTGAAGACCAGGTCTGTCGGGGAGACAGCGTCTGAATGAAACACCACCACGCTTGGAGCGTATATTTAAGCTGGGTTGGAAGGGGGGGAAGGGCGCCTTGACAAAATAATTTGCATATCAAGAGGAATTTAGCATATTCATGGGAAATATAGGTATGTGATTAGTACTACTTGTGAAATGCGTAGGAGGTGGGCGGGGGGGTTTCAAAGTCATATTATGCCCGTGCATTATGCAGGATTAGCAGCATCAAAGGTGACTTTCAGACCGCAGTCCACTCACTGGCATGACTATATATCTTGTATTCTCCACAGGGAATGGATTCTTTGCTCCGCTGCAAGTCTCCTACTACCACTCTTCCATTGACATATTTCGTTGCTTCCTCTTAGTATCTTTCACTCGACGGTCAATGGTATAGTGTATAGCAGATTGTATAATAATACATAGTATTAAATTGTAATGTTTAATACAATGTATAAGGCAATATATAGTATCGTAGTTGTATAGTGAATATACAGCAGTGTGATATACAGTAGGGTGGATAGAATAATGCATAGTGTAATATTACACTATGTATTATTCTAAGGTATAGGGTGGTGTATAGTAATACAGTATATAATTTAATGTTGGGTTTGTCTATGGCAGCATATAGTACGGGATAGACCCGTGTGATGTAAGGGAAAAAAATTTCGCTGGAAGCATATTATATTTTTTGCGACATAGAATTGTAATGTATTACTTACTGTTAGTAGCTCAGCTTATTGGAGAGTATAATTAGTATACTGATGATACTATGTAGTTTATACTTTAGTTTTTTACGTGGTTGTTTAGTCACTGCAGCTACATACTATTAACATTCCTTCCCTTTATTAATGCTACCCCTATCCCCTCCCTTTGATGCTGCTAATCCTGCATAATGCACGGGCATAATATGACTTTGAAACCCCCCCGCCCACCTCCTACGCATTTCACAAGTAGTACTAATCACATACCTACATTTTCCATAAATATGATAAATTCCTCTTGATATTCAAATTATTTTGTCAAGGCGCCCCTCCCCCCTTCCCACCCAGCTTAAATATACGCTCCAAGCGTGGTGGTGTTTCATTCAGACGCTGTCTCCCCGACAGACCTGGTCTTCACCTGAGGACGGCTGCTTGCGTTGTGGCCGAAACGTCGTGAGAATTATTTTATTATGTTTTATTTTTATTATTTTATTACTTCCCTTCTACGTGACTTTACCGAAAGAACCAAGAAGATAGTAGCGGGGGATTACAATTTTAATTTCAACCTCGACCAGATGGGGAGGGCGACACGACTCTCACCATGGCGAAGCCGACATCGGCCTTCTTCAGTGCCGGCCCATCGTTGGTTCCGTCTCCTGTGACGGCCACCACCTGGCGCTGCTCCCCAATGGTGCTGTCGATGATACCTGCCACAGAGGAGACGATCTGTGTTATTGGAGAACTGCGGTTCTTTGCGTTTGGACGGGATCGACGGATAACGGCCGATCGTGACGATTATTCTTATTAAATCGATAGACGTAAAGCTGCATGCTAAGAACACACGAGTGAGTTCGCTTTTGACATGGAAGTACATCGCAATGGTAGTTACTGTATGGCAGTCCGACAGTGGCCTGCAGCATCCTTCACATCACAGACTACAGATAATGGGGAGTAGAGGGGCAGGGGTGGGGGGTCAGTGGCCAGGGGGGGCCGCTGTAATTAATTGTTGAATCAAAGCAGGCATTGGCTCGGCTGCACCTTCACGTTTTCTCACCTTGCTAAGACAACGGCCGCTTTGTCTCACGGGTGATCGATGAAACAATCACACGACTTGGAAGAGGCACAGGGGACAAGCGGGTGAAGGAGCAATTAGCTTGCCTCCGCCGCTCAACGGGAACGCGACGCCGAGATATGCGAGCGTTTTGCCGCACATGCCCCACTATCGGTACCCCGCTAACGGTACCACGCTAACGGTACCCTGCTAACGGTACCCCGCTATGGGTACCCCGCTAACGGTACCACGCTAACGGTACCCCGCTATCGGTACCCCGCTAATGGTACCCCGATATGGGTACCCCGCTATCAATACCGCGCTAACGGTACAACGCTATCGGTTCCTCTCTAACGGTACCCCGCTAACGGTACCCCGCCAATGGTACCGCGCTATCGGTACCGCGCTAACAGTACCACGCTATTGGTACCCCGCTAACGGTACCTCTCTAACGGTACCCCGCTAACAGTACCCCGCTAGTTATGACTCCGGGTGTAAATCAACCGTCAGCTCCGCTGCCGCCTGCTGTGAGCCACAAGAGATCACCTGACGCCATTCACAAGAGTAGGGGGGCCATTGTGTGCCAGCGTCTTGGTCCAAATTGGAAGAATTTACCTGAAAAGTGCTGAGTGGGGATTACGCACATCAGCACCATCGCCCCCCCCCCCCTCCTTCCTACGTTGAAACTACTGGGGACTGTATCTATGTTCACAGGACCTCGCAATATCAGAGCCTTTATTGAAATTGCAGAAGGAGGAATCCGATGAGCTCCGAAGCTCTTTTTCACAGACGTCCGTTGCCGGCGGGTCAGCGAGTTACAACAGCAAACGATACAAAAACATAAACGATAGCAGTGCAAAAGAGAGACAAAGGCAAGCAAGCCACTAAATAAAAATAACAGCCTCGACCTTTGAGGGCGCAAATACCAAATGAGCTAAACCTGTATTATTGTTATTCTTATTATTGTGGCATCAATAAAGCCAGCTACACCGGCTCTCTCAGCTGCACCGCTACCCGTCACCGCGTCACCGTGCCCGTAACACGCTCCGTCTGACTGCATTGACCATTACTCGTAATACCGATGGGATACTGTACACTAAGCCCACCTACGTATAGTCGCAAAAGCATTAATGAGTGTGCCAAATGGCACACGCAGGACTCTCCCGTAAGAGGTTCTACGGTGGTGGGAGGCTGACTCATGAACATGCAGTGAGCGCGCTGGGCTCCTGGGATGTGTCCGAGAGTGAGGAGGGGGTGATGTGTAAGTGAGCTGCATTAGTAAGAGGCATGGAAGCCACACATTAAATACTAAACCCTGCCCCCTGGCTCAACGCAGGTTCCCCCTGGGGCGGCTCCACGCATCAGCAGTCACACTCGACCGCACGGTGAATTCAAAACTGGAATCTGTAGCAGCACATCGAATATACATTTTGTGCAATGTTATGTACGGCAACGTATATTAACATTTGCAATCTGCAGCAACAATTACAGTGACCTTTAGCTAGTTGCGCCAAACTTTACATTAGAATAAAATATAATTCATTTTCAAGTACTAAATTAATTAATTGCCCCCACCGCAAGTAAAAAACAAAACAGAAGGGAAAAAGCCACCGCAGCAGTTGTACAAAATAAGATTCATAATATGTATTTATACTGGAGGAATCCGAATAGCTATGAAGTTATTTTTCACAGATGTCCAGAAGTGCGGCAGAGTCGTTCGAGCGGCTCCTCGCTCCGTCACGACCGGTGCTGCCGAGCGTCTCGTGAGGGACGGTGGAAGAAGCGCACCGAGAACCAGAATCGCTCGGCTGCACGCCGAGGAAGGACAGCGGCACCACGGCGCGCAGGTCCGCGCTCGCACGACAAATCGCGCCACCGAGGTCGCTGTGCGTAAGCTCGGAGCAGGCTGCGCGAATCGCTAGGCCCATACCTTTGACGAGCGTGTGCTTGTCGGTAGGCGAGGACCGGGCCAGGACCCGCAGCTTGGGCCACACCTTGTCCAGGCGCTCCTGCTCAATCTGCCACGGAAGGTGACAACAAGGGAACCGTGTACCGCAACCTCACCCCGTGGCGCGGCACCACGACTCGCTGTTGCGATTTCACTCAAGACGGATTCCCTTTTGGTAAAATGTTTACCACTGCGATTGTTTTGCTTCTAATGCTTGTCTCCTTTGTACCGTTATATTCACCACGTGAGCACAAATGAAACTGGATAACTTGCGTCGATCATTAACACTTGATAATTACATTCGTGATGTAATGCATGTATCATGAACATAAGTGTCGAAACTAACTGCTGAAATTTTAGACCCTTGCACGCCTACCATTTACCAAAGCAATTGACGACGCTATCATGTCAGTTTGTGGAGAAAGAGGACCTCACCCCATGTTAGAGGTAATTTTTCAGAACTACTTGGAAAAATGCTTAGCCACAACAGAGATAAGCTATGTGCCCACTCGAGCAATGTCAGTCGCGTGAGAGTCATCAACTTGCTGGAGACTAGTGTAATTGCCGGTACTGAACTTGGCGTCAAGATTGAGCGTTGCTGGCTCAGCGCTCTGACCCCTGAGCTACAAGACCACAATCAACACGTTGACACAATGCACTCTGGACGTGCACGCACAGCTACGTACGCTGCAGCATCAGCTGACCATTTGTGTACGTTTGTGATGTTTGGACACACCAGATCCTTTTATTTGGTTCAACTCCCAATTATTTATCTGTAAACGTAAGACAGCAGATGAAATATAAAATATGTATCTAACTCAAACAGCAATTATTGAGTACACAGGATTTCAAACAGCAATTATTGAGTACACAGGATTTCGTGGCATTCCACGTGGGGCACTTAAGACCTGACACAGCGCGACATACTGATAACAGTGCTCTTTAACACAGCAGGCTTTCGCGACCAATATTATCCATAATACAGGTTTTTTTGGGTGAGCTCGCGTAAATATAATTGTTGTTAAACCCGACACCACCTGACACAGCCATGCAGTAAGGGTTGTCACGTAAACAATCGCGCCAATTCGTTGCTCCTTGAGCACACTGGTGTGTTGGGAGACGAAGCCCATGACATTTACAATTCGAGTACGACGTTTCGCCAGTAATTAGATGATGCTCATTGTAATCACTGGCCAAACATGGTAC